CGTTGGTAGCATTCAGCAAACAGAGGAAAAAATGAAAAACAAACTAGAAAGAGAAGGAAGATACCAAGCACCTGAGTGGGGAGGAAGGAAGCAGTGGGGAGGTGATGAGAGGTGGCATAAGGATAGTGGAAGGGGCACACTGTCCCTCAAATTTCAGCTCAGTAACCAGCTACTGTGCTGCAATCCTGGGTGATAGCACTAATTATGTAATCGTGACCTTGGAATGAGCTACTGCACAACTTGCGTAGATTTTCAAGATTTGATGTTCTCTGAGCACTGAGATCAGTCTGCTGCAGAGAGAAAGGGCTTTAATGAGTTGTGTTAGGTGATAGGGAAGAGAGGATGAGTGATAGTCACTGTTTCCTTGGGGGACAGACGGACAGGGACTGTTTCACTGTATTTCCCACCTCCAGGGTGAAGGCACAGTTTGAGGTGGTGGTCAGCTGTATTGCAGGAGCTCCATCTTCCTTGAGATGCCTCAGTGCAGTTGGCAAGCGATGATGTATTTAAGGAAGAAGATGCTTCAAAGGATGCTATGCTCCGTGGTCACCCTTCCATCCATCATTAATCCATATGGAAGAAACTCATGTTTTGGTGGTCTGATGTTACTCCCAGACAGAACTAGGAGAATCGTGATAATAAGGTGTAATTAATAAAGAACACAATGATGGAAATATAATTAATGTAAATCAAGTAAGATTGAAGAAAAATGGGTCTTTTTTCCCTTGTTATAGTAGAAGCAGGTATCTGGGTAAATGTGATGCATATGTAAGGGTTATGTGCTAGAACAGCATGACCCTAAAAACATGAAAGTGATAAATAGACCACAGATGTTCTTTGGTGCTCAGAAAGCACTTGGCAAGGAAAATCCTCTAAGATTGGAGGCATGTTAAAGGTCTGCTGCTGTTCAGCACTTTCATTTGGTATGGAGCAAACATATATGTAAACCTTACTAAATTCACAGGTGATGTGCATGTTACCAAGGTAAGTAGTACTGAGAGTAGGAGAGCTGTATAGAGCCTTATAGACAGTTTACTGAGTTGTCTCCTTTAAAAGGAATGCGTTTTTTTGTTTGTTATGTATTTCTTAATGTTATGTTCCCCAGGGTTGTAGCAGCAGGACAGGCACAGAGTGCACAGCATCCCGGTGAGGAGTGCTGCCCTGCCAAGAGCTTACTGTGGTCTGGAGAGATGCAAACAGCAGCAGTCAAAATGAGAGCACCAGCTGAATTTTACCTCTTTTCTTTTTTTTGTGTGTGTGATCAAATGCAGGCTCCAGTTCTGTGCGCTTGTTCTCTGAAGGGTGTTTAAAAGCTGGGAAGGTCATTAAAATGATTCAAGGGCAGGAGGGAAAAAATGCCAGCGCATGAGAAACATAAAGAGCTCGGTCTGTTTAACTTGTCAAAAAAGATTGAGAGATGACTTGATTATGCTGCAGAAGAGCCTTTCTAGTGAGAACACAAAGCAGCCCTTGTGGTGGGGAAGGGCATTAAAAAGCTGATGGCTGAGAGCTGGAGCCAGGCAAACTTCAGTCACATCTTTAAATATCAAGCAGTAAAATAAGCTGTGCAGGCAAGCAGCAGATACTGCGTCTCTCTATCTTCCAGTCTGGAGTGGATGCCTTTATAGAAGATATTCTTTAGATAAACATAAATTGTTTGGCTGAGCAGAACATGAAATAGTGAAATGGAAGCACCTGCCAGCACAGCCAGCTTGGCAAAGGGTCTGCTGGTCCCTTCTGGCTCTTAGCATCCCCGCCATGCTGGGTGCCGTCAGCCTGGTGATTCGGGCAGAGCATTTCTCCTTCCCAAGGTCATTCTGTACCTGGATCTGCTTCATGCTGCTTGCTGCCCTGTGCACTTGCCCTGCTGCAGAACGCTCAGTGTTCACTGCTTAATTGGAAAAGGTGCAGGGAATAAATCTAGAGGCGCTGCAGAAAATCACAGTACCACTCTTGTAACAATTAAGGCAAATGGTTTTGCCAGGCAGCACTCCGGGGTTTTGTCATCTACCTGTGTGATCTGCAAAGCACAGGGCTTCAGCTGAGAGAGGAGGCTCAGCTCTGCCTCTCTGCATTGGCCAGGGCAGGTGACCATTGCCTCTGAAATGTTTTCAGCCTGCAGACAAGCAGTGCACATGACAGTTTTAATCCTGCAACGACTCTTTTTCCCGGTATGTTATTTCTGATCCTGCCCTCCTGACTGAGGGAAGTAAAATAACATATTGCTGTTGTGTTCTGACCATAGGCAGAGTTTGACTGAAGGATTTAAGCAGGTTAGGAGCCTGTGCCCTATTTCTGGTGCTCATTGCACACCCTTTGCCTGTTTCGGTATTGGTTTGGGCTGAGGTGGTTTGGAGCTTTGTTTTTTGGCACATCAGCCAAAAAGTTCAGCCCCTTCTGTTTGAGAGATGTTGCTGCCAAGAAGACTGAAGGAGAACAAGGCTGGGGAAACTTTCTGCAGAGTGACTGGAGGTAGTTAGTTAGCTGCAGCAGTTGATGGATGGTGGAAGGCTCTTGTCTCTGTGATAGCAGCTCATGCTTTGCATTGACTCATTCCTGGCTTCTTTTCCAGAGTTTCTCCATTATCGTTATCTTTTTTTATTTTTTTATTCTTTTAAATATCTATGTGGCATAGCTGTGAACGTGATTGGGAATACTGATAAGTGCCCACCTGTAGGGAGCCACAAAGGGCAAGTGAGAGCAGCTCAGAATTACCTTTTTCCCTCCTCTTATTCCCCTGCCCTATGCTGAGCAGGGTGGCTGATGGCAGTGCCCCAGCTTTGAGTCAGCATGGGTGATGAAAGGCAGCAAGCATACCTTGATTTGCCATCATGCCATGCTCTGTCCCAGGCCACTGTCTTGGTGTCAGATGTGGATGCATGGTCTTCTAAGCATTGTGCCTAATTAGTTTGGAGAAATAATCTAGAGATCTTTTTTAAGCAGATTTTTTTTTAAGCAGTGTTCTATAGCTGGGCAAGTGAACATTTTTCCATTGTTTAATTTCAACATATATATCAGTTGTTTTGGATCTGCTTGCCTAGCAAAGCTCTCACATCTGCTAACCTAGCAGGTGCAGAAAGATGTGTGCAGAGAGCACCTGTGTAGGGGTGGGCTGGGAAGTGACAGACATGGGTGACAGAAAGGCTGTTTGTGGAGGTCAGTGTGAGGAATGACAGGGAGCATCAGGTCAGGCTGTGGGGTGCTCTCTGAAGGGAACCTGGAAACCCCACTGGGGGACCAAAGCAAACTGTACAGGCTTGTAGAAGCACCAAAGGGAGCATTTCTGCAGCAGCTGGGGAAGTATGCGAGGCTGCTTAGGCTTTGCTTTTGCTGATGCCTGTATTAATGTTCTTGCCTGAAGGTTTGGAGTTTGAAAGCTCTTTAAAAAATATCTGTTTTACGTTTGTGTGACTTCCTGATTTATACAATACGCTTCATGCATTGCTGTAGGCAGACAAACAATACAAACTGTAGTTAATGTTAACAGAAAACATATATATTCTGTTCTGTCAGCCCACAGGGACATGCATACCCGTGCAGCACCATATGTGGGGATGGCAGCTGGTACAGAGCCCTGGGGCCAATGTGCTCACCCAGCTGGAAACCTCGGGGTACTGGAAGAAAAGGGACTTTATGGCTGAGTTTATGTAAAAAGAAAAAAAATCTCTTTGCATTTCATTGCAGGTAAAATTGGAGAAGTAGGATTAGAAGTATTTTGATATCTTACTTATTTTTATGAAAATGCCTGTTAGACTGAGACCCAAAGAAAAATGCTATTAGGTTAAGCAGCTTGCTGCACAAGCAAGTGTTCTGCATCTTTTAGAGAAGTTCTTACAGATATCCTTGTGTCTCTCTAAAGTAGCTGGGAATGACTTATTCTTTTAAATATTTGGGGATCTTGAGTTCTTCGGTCTGAGTAGCTTCATCATTTCTTTAGCAAGGGGTGCCAGGAAGCTGGTGGGTTTCTGAGAGCACTGTGACTTAGCAGTGTTGCATTCCCTCCTCAGTGCCGTCAGCCTGGTAGCAAGAAGTAAAATAAGAGAAACTGTGTTGGTGGGCTGGAGGTTTGTTGCGTGAATCCTGGTTAGCAGATGGACACTTTTGAATGGACTTGGATATTCTGCTTTGTTCGGAAGACTTGGAGCTGATGTGGTGCAGGATGAGTCCTGTATGTGGGATGAGGGTTGGAGCTTTCTAGTGCCAGCAAAAGCAATTAATAGTAATGATATTCATTACATGTTCATTATATAACGTGGTTTGTTCTGTGAAACAGACTGCTAGAGAAGAAGGATGAAAATAGCAGCTTTTAATTTCAGAGGGCTGAGCCTCTGAAGGCTGCACCCAGGAGGGAAGAGAAGCTCCTTAATTCCCTGCGCTCTGACCCAGGCAATGTGCAGTGGGAATGGTGCTCTCTGGGGTTTCCCTGCTGATGCCATCCCAAGTGCTGACACTGGGGAGTGTTTTGGCTGTGCCCCTCTATTCCCCTGTTGTCCATCTGGGATGGCTCCTGCCTTCAGTACCCCTGCTGCTGCTTGGCCTTCTCCTTTCCTGCTGACATGGAGCGGTGGCTCTCTGCTGCTCCTCACAGGTAGTTGCTGTGGGGTTTAGGAGGTGTTTGGAGCTTGGTCACACAGCACACCTCAGTCTGCCTGTGGGTGTTATTGCTTGTCCTCATGAGTTGAGTAGATCTGTGCATAGAGCCACCTTGCGTGCCTGTGTGCACCTGGACTCAATGCATAATTAATTGGTACAAATACTTGAGGTAGGTAGGGTGTTATGTATACTTTGAGTATCTGCTGGGCACTGGCTTGCTGGATGTCAGGCTTTGTTCCAGAGGTGGCTGGGAGCAGTTGACGAGGCTGAGTAACAGAGCACAGCGTGAGAGCAAAGTGCTGCCAGGCTGATCTTCTGCAAGGCCTCCTCTGCTTCTCCTTCGCTCTGTTACAGCAAAGGGCTCTGAGCACAATGGCTAACTGCCCCTTCTCTTCTTTTGTTTCCAGATGGGGACGGTCGGAGACTCAAAGGAGCCATCCAAAGGAGCACAGAAACAGGGCTGGCTGTGGAAATGCCCAGCCGGACCGTGCGCCAGGCCAGCCACGAGTCCATTGAGGACAGCATGAACAGCTATGGATCGGAGGGAAAGTAAGTCACTGAAAGTGGGCTGGATGATTACTTGCAAGGTGCTCTGCTCTTGTACCTGTTAGTTTTTTTTAGATGTGTGTGTCTGACTTGTTTATGCTGCAGTTGCACTGCCCATCCCATTAGAGCCGAGCACATTGCTCCCTCTTCCTGCATAGCTGGCACATACTCCAGCTGTTTATATACTTTTTAAAGTGTCCTCATTATTCTGAGCTGAAGCTGATACCCATTACTTTTAACGGCTCTGCCTTTAGAAGAATAATTCAGGGTGAATAGCTGAGGCTCATTACCGGTAAATAGATTATAAGCCAGTAGTCTTCAACATTGCGTGGTAGCTCTCTGTCTCCCCTATTGCAGAATACGTTTTTGATTTGGGAAACAAAAGTGTGCTGAGGTGATGAAAATGATGCAAGTGACAAAACAGTGACTCTGATATTAAAGTTTAAGAACCATATTTACAAGTTCTTGTTGAAGAACTTTTCTTTTGGATTTGAGTAGTGTCCTAAAAAGTGTGTTTTAGAACCAGGTTTTAACCACAAGAAGTTACGACTCACTTTGTTGCATTTGTAACTGAATGCAAAGCATCAGGGTTCAGAACTTCAGGAACTGCCTTGTCTTTAGTTCCATTTTCTGTATTTCCATTATTTGAAGCCATATATGGAAATTATCATCATTTGATTATGATGGCCATTCATGGGAATCTTGGAAGTGGGGAAAAAAATACCATAAAACAAACCAGTATTAAAAAAGGGTAGGCAATATGTATCGTATGGTTCCATGTTTCTGGGTATGAGACCAAAATGTTTATACACCTAAAATGTGTTCTGGTTAAGTCTGGTGCCATGCATGGCTTCACTCTGTACACGCTCTTGAGTTCTGTGTGATATTCCATGTACACTGTACTGCTAGAATACCAGGATAGACCAAAGGCTCCCTCAAATAATTAATGCAGTTCTGGTGTTAAATAAGTAACAGGCTGTAAATTAAGAGATACTTTCTTTAGCTTTGGAAGTAGGCTAATCCTGGAAAGGCATCACAGGTCTGTGCTGAAGGTTGGAAATAGTAATGAGGCACAGGCTGCGATAGCAATCTTGTCGCTCTGAAGCCATGATGTACTTTATCTCTTCAGTGAGCTGTTGTCTCGGGGGATATATTCCATCTACACCACCACAGTCCTGTGGCTTGGAGTTCTGCTTCTGCTCTGAGATTCAGAGGATTAGTGATTAAGTTCGGTCCCTTGGCACTGTGAGGCAAGAATCTGCTTTCGTGCAGAGTGAAATATTTTTCCCTTTATATTTACATTGCTTGTCCTTCAGGGAAGGGTATTCTTTCCTGTATCCTGTCCTTGCATTTGCTGGCTTTTTTGGCTGGTCGTTCCTGGAGAGAAGATATTTCTGCCAATACAGTGCTGCACCCATACAAACACCCTGAAGGCAAGCAGCACGTAGCTATCAGTGTGGCAGAGAAATCCTGCATTGCAATCCAAATGTCTTTATTAGAACACGTCTGACATTTGGTATTCAAGCCTCAAATTCTGCTGGAGCATCCTCACCAGCCCCTGCGCTGGGGTGGGCTGCTTCCTGCTCTTGCTTCTCTGAAGTGTGTGATAAGGGATTCCTGGATGCTTTGTTCAGGTGGGATAATTGATCTTGGAGAGCCCGTGGGAACTGTGGCTATCAGTCTGAGCCACTGCTGATAACAAAGGGCTGTGAGTACAAAGAGCTGAGAGCACCCTGTTCTCTTGGAACGTGGAGGGAGGGGATTTTCTTTGCTTTTTTTTTTTTCCTGTGGCAAAGAAAGGAAGTGTTTGGGAATAGCTTCAAGGGGCAAAAATGTATTCTGCTGAATCAGACTTCTCTTGGCTTCTCCTGTTTGCTGTAGATGCCTTCCCAGGGAAGTACAATGAAGATTCATATGACTGTTAGCTGTGGCAAGTTTATTTTTTTTCACTGCTGGTTTTTGACTCATGCAGATAGTCCTAGGCCAGGGAGCTTTTGCTGGTGACTGTTAGAAACCTGATCTTCAGCAGCACGAGGTTACCCTGGTTCTTCCTACCCGTTTACCTCTTTGGTATGCGCACAGAGGGAAGAAGATGGATTCAAAACACTGTGTTCCGGAAGAGCTTGTTTCCAGAGTTCATTGTTTTCCTGATCCTCTTCATTTTAAGGACTAAATGACAACTCCCGAACGTGATCCACTGAAGTGATAAACATTTCAGTAAAACTTTGCTACCTGCTCTCTGTCAACCAAGACAAGACTGAGTTCTGTCATGTTCACTTGGGCTGGCTGCAGCTAGCTCCAGCTGCTCTGTTGCAGAGCAGAGAATCGCAGTCAAAGAACTTCATATACTGCATGATTTTGAGCAGCACTGCTTGCAGTGTGGTTGTCATAATTTCGTAATGCATGAAATCTGGATCATTGTATGGAAAGACCTTGTATAGGGATATACTTCTCAGATATGGTAGGCCCTCCTTCAGGAAAATGCTCATCTCAGGGTGTGATCCAAAGGCTGAAGTATGTGGAAGGTTAGCTGATCTGCAGGATGGAGCTGGAATGTGAGCTCATACAGCACACCAGAGAGCTGATGTCAGTGCACTGCTCCATTGATTGTTTTTTTTTTTTTGCAGTTCAGAAAAAAATTTCCCCAAGCACATTACTCAGCTTTTATCCTGCACAGTAGTTGTGCACTAGTATAGGAAATTAATATAATAAAGCTCAATGTGAGACCTTATAGAAGGGGAAAGTGATATTTATTTCAGAGAAACCAATTTTCAGTCATTAAGGCTTCTAGATTTCTCCCCCTGGCTCAATGTGCAGGCGCCAAGCCTCGTGTATTGGTGTGCTCTGCCAGCCTGGGTTGCGTGCTGCAGGGACCAGGAACACCATCTGTCTCGTCCTTACTGTGGCTTCTGAGTTGTTCTTTCCAACAGACTATTTCTTGGATGGCTTTCTTACACTTTCTAGGACTTGCATCTTACTGTGGCGTGATCTTTCAGCTCGGAGTCTTACTTTCTTCATCCTCCACAGATCTCACATAGGTATCTCCATTCAGAATTCGTCCAAACCATCCCTTGTACTGGGTACAGATTTCTGCAGCAGTGTTTTCAAAGTACATATTTAGCAAATTGCATAAGAGGGCAGCTCCCCATGTAACATGTGCCTACCAGGCAGTCCCATGGCAGCACCGATATCACCACAGGGAAAGAATTCAGCAGAGAAGAGTAACTCTCAAATATACCTTTGGGATTCAGCAGCTCTGTCCTAGTTCTTGCACAACCTACATCTTGTTTTGGCTGAGTTTTGTTGCAGCTGCACAAGACATTCAGAAAGCAACAAGCTTCACAAGACATTCAGATTCTGGACTTGTGTAGAACTTATTCCTGCCAACCACTTTTCTTTCTGAAAATGCAGCAGAAAGACAAAAATGGGCCTGTAACAAAAGGCTGCTAGCTGCTGTGGTCCCTAATACATGCTACTTGTCAGGTTTTTTTGTTCTTGCTGGCTGCTGCAGAGATGATTAACTTACAGAGAGCTGAGGTGACATTTACCTTAGAAAGGCCCAGCAGGTGAAGAGAGCAAAAACGTTGAGGTCTGTTCTTGTAATTGTTGAGATGAGCTTGCCTGTCCAGCAAGGAAGCTTCTTGTTAGCCGCATCATTGCCCTTTTTCCCATCACAAGATTACCTTACCTGCTTCTCCTGCAGCTGCTGTGGTGTTGGGCTCAAGGCAGTCTGTGCTGGGTGTGGGCATCCTGTACCTCTTGCTTGTGTTCTGGCTCTTGATGTGCCTGTAAGCCACAGCTTGTTCTGGTTTTCCCTTGAGTGCTTGTGAGGGAGCAGTCCCAATGACAACTAGTTTCTGAGCTGCCTGCCTTTGTCTGCTTTACTATGAAGCAGGAACCAGAAGGAAGCTGGAGACGGCACTGATGTGCCTTGTGCCTTACCTATCCCCTTCAGATTTGCTGTCCTTCACCCAGAGATCAGCACTGGTACCATTGTTACTCCAAAAGCAGAGGAATGCTTGATCCCTAAAAGCACCATCTGAATTATTCATGTTGTAGCTATTCACTGACATCCTCTTTCTTGGTGTTCATAGCCAAGGGACTTCTAGTCTCTTTTATGACAAATTACCTTTAGGGCTCTTCTTTTATCTGAGTCTTTTAAAAGAAATGTGTTGTTAATACATTTCAGGCTGTAGGATACCAAGACTCCGAGGTCTTAAGCTGGAAATCAGGGAAGGCAAGGAGAGTTGTTTCTGTAGCATCCCAATAAGTGAGTGAGCCTGTTCAACAGCAGCAGATCCTTGTGCTGTTCAGCTTGACCAGTATGGCTCAGAGTGGCTGTGCCCCTAATGTCACAGGGCTGAATGCATGGAATCCCACCTGCAGTGACCAGAGGACAGGTGGCAGTGGGTGTCTTTTATTGAGCACGGCTGAGACAAGCTGTGGAACTGGAGCTTGCCTGGCAAGGTGGGGAAGGAGTGGGGGAGGCCTTGGTACACTGTTCCCTGCCTCATTTTTCTAGCACAGTTTAAGTGGCAGAATTCATGCAGCAGACGGAAGCGCACACAAACGGAGTACAGCGTGTTACTGCACATAAGACAGTACGTCACAGTGCTAAAAATGTTCCAGCGAGTGGAGTGGCTGGGAGAGAGCAGAGCTTGTTGGGAGGCAGAGACGGAGCTGTCAGGCTGAGCAGAGCTGCGTGGTTGGTGCTGCGAGCTCCACGTCAGGTACTGCGGGGAGAGGTGCTCTCACAAGCCTTTCACAGCCAAAGCAAAGGCTCCTGCAGCACTCACATCAATTTTGACAGCATACGGGGCTGTGTGCCCGGGCTTGTGGCACTCAGGTGTGCACTGCATTAATAATTCCTGATGTGTACTGGACGTGTTGTAAAGGCAGGGGCAGGGGATGCTGAATTAACCAGTTCTGCCTTCTTCCTTGTCTGGCAAACAGCGATGTGGCTTTTGTGTGTGATAGATGCAGTTTAGGAGAGCTTAATGTGC